GAGAGATAAAAGTCCCAGATGTAGGTGACCAACTTGAAATCTTAACTATTGTTGAAAGCACCATTACACATTATATTCATCCTTTGAGTATTAGAACACAATGGGTTGTATCCTACCACTCTGTTCAGTTAAGCATAGAGCCATTCTATGTCCTAAGGTGCCTTCCTCCAGCTGAAGGCTCATTGTGCTAGAGGAGGACCCCATGCTTGGAGATAGAATACAACCCTTAGGGCTAGACAAAATTTGGTGCATCCTAGTTATGGGGGGGGGGACACAGCTCACCAGCTATGAGTAGATATTAGGGATGCCAAATCGACTTACCTCTGCCAGCGGGGGACTTTGTGCTGGCTCCGCGTGCACATAACAGGGAAGTGACGTCATGACGCTGGGCACGCTGGGGGCGGGGCACAGCCATTTGAGGGGAAAACTCTATGTTTTCCCCTCAAATGGCTGTGCCCCGCCCCCAGCGTGCCCGGCGTCATGACGTCACTTCCCTGTGACATGCACGCGGGGGTGGGGTTCCCCTGGGACCCGATTCCTCCGGGGCGGAAATCGGGCCTCCCAAGCGGGGGGAAATCTGCCCCTGGGGGGATTTGGCAGCCCTAGTAGATATAGACTGATACTGAAGATTTATTCATTCTTAATTAACTTTTCCATAAATTTACTAAGTCTACAAATAAGTTATTACATTCCAAGTATAAATGCATCAGATCAGTCCATTTTTCTGCCATTTCTTTTTGTATAGATTAGATGGGAAATGATGAGTGAGGGAATTGTTACCTCAAATCTGCAGGTTTCATTCTTGTAGCCCCCCCCCGAGTTTTTTTTAAAAAAATAGAAACAAAGTGCAACAAACCTGGAAGATAGTGTCGATTAGAAAAGTGAGGACTGGGAGGGAAAATTGGAAGAACTTGATTTTAGTATAGAGGACAGGTTATTTTATATCCTAATAACAAAGTCCAGATATCTTTGGATACTTAAATCTGGTGACTGAGCTGTCAACAGGTAAGACAGATCTTTCTACAAACCCGAAAAAGGCCCTAGGTTTGCAAGGAAACGTGAGATCTAATAAAAATACACTGGGCAGCTTAAAAAATCTGAAAATGATAAAAGGAGCACCTCAGTGGCTGTTGTTAGGCAACCACAGCATTCCAAGTTTGGCTCTGTCAGTAAAATGCAGGGGGAGGGTCCTTTCCAGACCTATATTGTCCTTTGAGGGAGACCTCATTAGGACCAGCCCTGGCTATCACTGCCAACTCCAGACTGGGAAATTCCTGGATATTTTTTATTTATTTATTTGATTTCTATCCCGCCCTCCCAAAGGCTCAGGGCGGTTCACAGGCGGCAAATCCAGAATGTAAAATACAATAAGACATACAATAAAATACACATTTAAAACCACGATAAAATCATCCTATAACACAGTGCTATATTAAATCAACCAAGATGGGAACAACCAACCAACTTTGGTGGCCAGCTATCCCGGTAGCGCAGTCTCCCGCTATGCTGTCTATAACTTCTGCCAGGGCTTAACCTGCCCCCCTTTCATAGGGCAGCCGATGACATACTACCTCGGTGGTAGGATAGTGGCGGCGGATAGTGGCGGCGGCGGCTCCTACTCGAATGCCTGGTGGAAGAGCTCCATCTTGCAGGCCCTGCGGAACTGCATAAGGTCCCGCAGCGCCCGGATCTCCTCTGGGAGCTCATTCCACCAGGTAGGAGCCACCACCGAGAAAGCCCTGGCCCTAGTAGGGGCAAACATAATCTCTCGGGGACCTGGAACTTCCAGGAGACGGCGGTTTCCTGATCGTAGTGCTCTTGAGGGAACATACGGGAAGTCTGAATGAAGTCTGAAGGGAGCAGGATTTGGGGAGGGGAGAGGCCTAGGGTTGCCAGACCTCCCGGTTTGGTGGCGGTTACCCATTTTTTGAGGGGGTTCAACCTGCCGCTGGCCAGCTGGCCAGTGGGGGAAGCCTTGCCCCCAAGCCCCAACACCCGCAGCCACCCCTCTCCCTTCTCTCTTGAGAGAGAGGAGGGAGTGGGTGGCTGCGGGCTGCACGTCCAATCTCCGAGAGGCATTGCCGCTCAGAGATCGGGCAGGTGGGGGCCTCCAGCTGTGTGCACTTAAAGGGATACCGATGATTTCTTCTACAACTGGAACATGCTATACTACCAACCAAACAACAATAGCACAAACACATTAAAAAAACCTATGCAGAAATGGGACACTTGAGATACTGGAATGGAGATTCTCTAACACTACAGTCACTAGTTCTTTCCACTTGACAAACAGGAACCTCGTGAACCCCACCTGTAGGTTTCCAATCAGGAAATGTTTAAAGGTCACTCTCCAATTAATTTAGTAATATTGATAGCAGATTCACAATTATGTGGAAGGATATGGACTAGCAAAAGAAATAAGGTGGGTAAGCTTCAATGGATATGGGAAACAAATTGTACAGTTGACCATTACCATACCAGATAGGGTCGAAGTATTAATGGAACAGTTCCAAGAAAATATAACAAGTTCTTCATAAAAGTTTAGCGTTGACTACTAGCAGTACGATCTTGTTTTAACCTGGAATATTTATAGTGGGTACCATTCTTCTGTAAGTTTCACAGTCATCCCTGCAGAAGCACCAGTTATGATTGGGTTCAGTTTATCTCCTCCACAAATACATTGATGTAGTCTAAAAGAAAACCTAAGTAGATAGATCCAGGTAGTCAGCCATGCTGGTCTGAAGGAGTAGTACAAATTTAGAGTCTTAAAGGTGCCACTGGACTTTAAGATCGGGGCAGGGACATCTTGCCAGCTGCATACCATCTCAGTTGTGTTTTTGTCTCCTTCTTGAGCTGTTTGTGGTCAAAAGTGTGAGAGGCTCACAACCAATCTCCTTGGAAGAACTAGCTGTGGAATCCCAACCAACTATAAGTTTATACTTTAGTTGTAAGCCCCTTTTGGGGGAAAAGTAGGATATAAATATTTAATTACATAATAAGGCAAACTAAAATTAAATGCATAAAGCGCTGTGCAAGTTTTTCACAATTGTTCATTAGGTGGATGTTAAAAAACAAAAATGAGGGGGATCTAGTTTCAGGTTATTGTCTTGGCCTGAAAACGGTCTAAAGTATACAGTCCTTATCACTTAATCTCAAAAAAGATAATTAGCACTAGAAAATATATCGAAAATGGCAAGGAAACAATAAAGGTGTTGGACTTCTAGAAGAAAATGCTGATGACAGGGGCCCCGAATTTTTTGAGCCCACAGGCATGTTGGAATTCTAACACAGCATGGTGGGCACAGGTAGAAAATGGCCACCACAAACTGATTTCTGCATGAGGCAGAGCCAGTCACAAAATGGCTGCTGCAGCTTACTTTCAATCACAAACTTAAGATCCTTGTGCTGTGGCAGCAGCTGCAACATTTTAAAAGCAACTTAAAAAAAATCTGTATAGCCAATCAAATCTGTAATGGCCAACTGGAGGCCTTCCTGGGCAAAAGACCCACCCACTTTCTTAAAACTCTTGGGGGGCACCAGGAAAGGTGTCAGTGGCCCCCAGAAAAGATGTTAGTGGGTGCCATGGTGCCCATGGGCTCCGTGTTGGGGACCCCTGATTTAGGACTTTTATGTTTTTTAAAAGGTGGGCATTTTAAATGTTTATATTTGGCCTTCATGGCTAAAGACCCTCAAGTTTTCAGGGCTGGTGGCAACTGTTTAAGTTTCCAGAGGCACTGAGCTGGCCAGCATGGCAGCAGGGTACAGTTCCTGTGGTCTCTAGTAAAACTTCACCATTTAAAAACCCCATGCTGCTCCCTGAATGGGTATTACGGAAGGATGCTAATTTCAATGAGTTACTATGCATGAAAAAGTGATTCAGATGAACACCTTCTCTGCCTTTTAAAAAGGTAAAGGTTCCCTTGCTGGAAAGCCAGTCAAGTCCGACTCTAGGGTTGCAGTGCTCATCTCCGTTTCAAAGCCGAAGAGCCAGCGCTGTCCGAAGATGTTTCCGTGGTCATGTGGCCGGCATGACTAAACACCAAGGCGCGCGGAACGCTGTTACCTTCCCACCGAAGCGGTACCTATTTATCTCCTTGCAATTTCTTGCTTTCGAACTGCTAGGTTGGCAGGAGCTGGAACTAGAGACGGGAGCTCACTCCGTCATGCGGCACACTCGGGTCTCGAACTGCTGAACTACCGACCTTTCACAGCCTGCAGTTGAGCATCTTAACCACTTGAGCCACTGCAGCTCCTTCTCTGCCTTTTACTTCCTTACATAATGGATCAATGGGTTGGTGAATTATCAGAATGACTTGTAATATTTTCTACATAGTTTCTAATATTTAGAACTTGGAAGCATATAGATGATTCTGTTGAACATATTATAAGATGCACATTCTCAGACAAAAGACAGACAGTAGCAAGAGTGTATGCCAAGCAAAAGGGCTCTAACCTTGCTTTCTCCCTGACATGTCTTATGTCAAGGAGCTTTGACATATGGGCAAGCATTCAAGCAACAGCTAACCCTAACACACACACAAACATGCGGTTTGGCTATTTCATTCCCCTTTTCCTCGCAGAATTTCAGGATCATCCCCCCCCCCCCAAGTAACCCAGGGTTTCTAAAATAAACTAGCTGTTAAGAAAAGTGTAACCCATATGCATGGTTTTTACCATGCCCTCTTCTAGACCATTATTAGAATTATGTTTACATAATCTCAACCCAATTTCATTCAAGACTATACTGGATCATCAAACCTTGCATTAAAGTCACCTATTTAGTTACAGTATTTCTAACATTTACAGCTACATCTATACATGGTTTGCTATCGTGTTATCATTCTGCTGCAACAATCATTTGCCACTAGTTTGTCTTCCGCACACCAGGAAAATCAGGCTGTGAATGATCGCTCTAGCACAAAAGTCAGTGATATGTGGATGCAGCTTATATGTCATATTACTATGAAGACTCTCAAAGCAGCATTCCCCTGTTAACTCACCTGAAGAAATATGTTTCTCTACCTCTTGACTAGAAGGCACGGGGCTGGTAAGCATAATCATGGCTACAAGACAAATCATAGGAAAAAAGTAATTTCAAAATTGTATAATCATGAGTAGAACCATCCTGACCATCAGGGCAAACTACAGCTACCATATTTTTGTGCCCTTAGAATCACCTGACTTGTTTAAGAAGGATATCTATTGGTTACACTCCCCTCATTTTTTATCAGAAAAAAACACTGACATTGGAAAATACTGAAATATATTCAATACTTTCTCATCAAACCTAAACATTTTTCATGCTGTAGCAGCATTACTGTATCATTTATAACTTATACTACACCATACTAATCAGCATATTTATGGAAGTTAAAAATACTGTTTAATGTCTTTTCCATGCAATGCCTTCCCTGCAGAGGTCTTTTCGGGGGGGATCGCAGTTCCCCCGGGTGAGGTACGGGGGCGGGGCACATGATGAAGTCCCGCCCCCTGCTTCCGGCCACCTCGCTTCCGGCCCTCATTCAGCCAGGAGGAGGCAGGAGAAGAGGGAGGGTAAGTTGCTTCCTCCCTGCCTCTCCCAACCCCTGCCTGCCTGGGGCCAGGGAGGGCCTTCGCGGGGCTTCCTTGCACTCCTCGGCAGTGGAGCTGCAAGGCCGCCGCTGACGGCCGGGACCGTTGGGGGCGGGGTGTGTGGCCTTATGACACACTTCCGGTGATGTCAGGGGGTGTGGCATATGCTAATAAGTTATGCTAATGAGTTCCCCTAGCTCTTCTTCTACGAAACGACCCCTGCTTCCCTGTATTAACATTAAAAACAAGGAACTCTGAGCTTTTAAAAACAGCAGGAAATAGAGCTGCTAGAGGGGTGTTTTTCAGCTGAGGTTATTTAGCTGAGGGTACTGTGTGGGGGGACTGTGTTTAGAAGTGTGTGGGTGAGTTGTGAGTTGTTGCAGACTAGTTGTGAGTTTAATACAAACTAGGCAGTTTCCTAGAGCGTCGGGCCCTGGATGGGGCGTCGGGCCCTGGATGGGGCGGCAGGCCCTGGATGGGGCGCCGAAGTTCACCTGCCCGCCAAAAGCCCGCATGCCACCGTTCGCCTCCCCTGCTCCGCCACTGAAGCAGCCACATCCCCAGCCAGCCAACCAGCCAGCCCCGCGTCCCCCGCCCCATTCCTGAGCACCGCTGTCTGCTGCAGCAGCTTCCCCGCGGCTGGGCAGGGGAGAGGCGGCCTGGCCCTTCTGGCTGCCCTCTCTGTGGTGGGGCGGTTGTGGCTCCGGTGCGCCTGGCCATGGGGGAGCCGGCGGCGGTGCTGCTACTGCTGTGTCGGGTCAGGGCTGCATGGAGGAGGAGGCTGCCGCTGCTGGGAGCCCCCTGGCGGCGGCAGCGAAGGCAGGAAGGCGGCGAAGGCAGGGAGGCAGGAGGGAGTGAGCACCCAGCAAGGCTAGTGAGTGCGGCAGCGGGGGGAGGGAGTGAGGGCACGGGTGCACGGGGATGGACCCCCCAGGAGACCCCCCTCTCCAATCCTCCCGTTCTCCAGGCCAGCTGGTGGCGCCAACATGGCTGGAGGTGCAGAGGAGATGCGGCATCCCCCTCGCCTCCTGCACAGTCCCCCCCATGCACGCCAGGTGCTGGCATCCGAGCGGGGGGGGAGAGAAAGGAGAGGAAGGTGTTATGGTGGGAGGAAGGCATGGGGGGGCTCAGTGCTGCTGCAACTCGCGCTGTTGCAACTTTCGGGAAGTTCTGTTTACCCCCTCTCCTTAAAAAACCATCTCTGGAACCGGCCGAATTGGCTAATTATCGGATGGTTTCCAATTTGCCTTATCTGGGCAAATTAATTGAGAGGGCGGTGACGATACAGTTGTAGAGCTTTATGGATAATGCTTCCATGCTAGATCCTTTCCAGTCCAGCTTCCGCCCAGGCCATGGGACGGAGAAAGTACTGGTCGCAGATGACCTCCAGAGGCACCTGGATTGGGGCGGTGCGGTGGTGCTGCTGTTGTTAGACCTGTTGGCGGAGTTCGACATGGTCAACCACCAGCTACTCGACCACTGCCTCGGCGACATGGGAATTCAGGGGCTTGCCATGCAATGGCTTGTCTCCTTTCTCCAAGGTCGGGGACAAAGGGTGGCTATTGGGGAGCAGCAGTCCCGAAGGCACCCACTAGTATGTGGAGCACCTCAAGGGGCCGTGCTCTCCCTGATGCTATTTAACATCTATATGCGCCCCCTTGCCCAGATTGCCAGGAGGCATGGGCTGGGATGTCACCAATATGCGGATGACATCCAGCTCTATCTGATGTTGGGCAGTCAGTCTGACTTTACCCCAGAAAACCTGGACCGGGCGTTACAGGACGTGGCTGGATGGCTTAGACTGAATTGATTGAAATGGAATCCGACAAAGACGAAGGTCCTGTGCTTGAGTCGGAGCGGTACGGGGGTAGGGATCCCACTCCTGGCCTTTGATGGGGGCACCGTTGGTGCCAGCGCCGAGGGTCGGGAGCTTGGGAGTGCTCCTGGATGCTTCCTTAACAATGGAGGCCCAGGTAGCAGCCACTGCTAAGACAGTCTTCTACCACCTTCGACTGATTAGGCAGTTGGTTCCCTTCCTCTAATGCAATGATCTGGCTGCAGTGATCCATGCAATGGTCACCTCGAGGCTGGACTACTGCAATGCTCTCTACATGGGGCTGCCCTTGGTGCAACTCTGGAAGCTGCAGCTGGTGAAAAATGCAGTGGCCAGGCTGTTGATGGGTCTCCCCAGGTAGGAACCCATCCAGCTTGTGCTAAAGACATTGCACTGGCTGCTAATAGCATACTAGATTCACTTCAAGGTGCTGTTTTTGACCTTTAAAGTCCTTTATGGTCAGGGACTGGCCTACCTGAGGGACCGCCTTTCCCCGCATGGTCCCCGAACAGCACTGTGATCAGGATCTCAAAACTGCCTGGCCCTCCCTGGTCTGAAGGCTGCAAGGTTGACATTGACAAGGACCAGGTCATTCTCTCTGGCAGCTCTGTCCTATTGGAATCAGCTCCCTAGCGAGATCAGGGCCCTGCAGGACCTTCCACAGTTCCACAGAGCTGTGAAAACAGAGCTTTTTAGGCAAGCATCCCGATAGGAGCGGCACCTTACCAGCTGCGCCCCGTGTGGACTCAGACCCAGAAGTGACCTAGAGTGGTGGCACCACTGAACGTGTCTCCAATTGCACTTTACTGTTTTGTATCGCCATCGATATTATTGCTTTTAATTGATGTATCTGTAATTTTATAAGATGTATACTGTTTTATTAGTTTTATGGGAGCCGCCCTGAGCTAGCCTTGGCGGGGAGGGCAGGGTAAAAGTAAAATCAATCAATCAATCAATAAAATCTTGCCTTGTCACTTATGGCGGCCATAAGTGCTCCCTCTCAGGTCCCTGCTTTGGAGCGAGCCGGGGTCTACTCGCGTGCCGCCACACGTGAGAGCCCCCAGCTCAAGCTCCCTGCCAAGAGTCTCCCTCGGAGAAGACCCTATGGGTTCCAGTGCCTCAGATCCCCCACCAGGGCCTGGCGGTTCGGAGATTCTTCGGGAGCTCACCCGGGAACCTTCCGAAATCGGTGGGTCACAGACCGGAAGTCGGGCAACTAGAATGATAAAGGGGCTGGAACACTTTCCCTATGAAGAAAGGTTAAAACACTTGAGGCTCTTTAGCTTGGAGAAATGACGGCTGAGGGATGACATGATCGAGGTTCATAAGTTTATGCATGGGATAGGGCAGGTAGAGAAAGAAGTACTTTTCTCCCTTTCTCACAATACAAGAACTCGTGGGCACTCCATGAAATTGCTGAGCAGTTGGGTTAGAACAGATAAAAGGAAGTACTTCTTTACCCAAAGAGTGATTAACACATGGAATTCACTGCCACAGGAGGTGGTAGCAGCTACAAGCATGGACTGCTTCAAGAGGAAAGTAGATAAACATATGGAGGTCCATCAGTGGCTATTAGCCACAAGGTATCGATAGGATCTCTCAGTCTGGGGCAAGTGATGCACTGTATTCTTGGTGTTTGGGGGGGCAACACTGGGAGGGCGTCTAGCATCCTGGACCTCTGGATGCCACCTGGTATTTTCGGCCACTGTGACAGAGTGTTGGATTGGATGGGCCATTGGCCTGATCGAACATTGGCTTCTCTTATGTTCTTATGGTCATTATGACTGATTTATGTGATTTATAAACATTTTCGTTGTCATTTAAAGAACTGCCTACTGAGCAGAGCAGTTTTACAAGGATGGGAGGCAGTAAAACTTGTGTGAGAATCAATACACATGTGAAAGAATATGGTGAAGAAGTACAGTGAAACAACCTGCCAAACAACGATGAAGAGATCAATGAACTATTGGGGTGTGTGTGGAAAAATTCCTGTTCATGAGCCAAACTGTCAGGTATTCAAGCATCCCTAGTTAACACCTATAACTTCCCAAACCTTTTCCCAGCAGCACTTGATAGAAGCCAGGCATCAAAGCATTTGAGATTAGACGTGATGAACAAGGTCTGTGTGTGCTACATAGTCTTTGCCACAAACCACATTTTCTCTTCTGCTATCACTTCTGTTTGCACAAGAGTGCACTGAAAATCACTGATCTTGTGGAAGTTTTAGCAGGAGGAGAAGTGCACTCCATGCTAGAGGCTATCAATTGCACATGGAACTTAACTTGTTCACAGAATCCAAGCCTTACATTTTAAGACATGATGATGCATGCTTCAGCCTGAATGTATTGATTTTTGAACTACAAACACAGAAGAAAACTAGTATGCTACAGTAGTTAAAGTCTTGGATTAGGATCTGGAAGACCTGGAGTTAAATTGGGCCAGTCACACACTTTCAGCGTACCTGAGGGTTGCTGTGAGGATAAAATGAAGGAGAGCAGAATGATGTAAACCACTTTGGTTTCCCAGTAGGGATAAAGGCAAAATACACACACACACACACACAAAGAGAGAGAGAGAGAGAGAGAGAGAGAGAGAGAGAGAGAGAGAAATAGTTACCTTTACATTCAGGAGTAGGGCCCCTCCAGATTCCCTTTGCGTTATCTTCAGTTGTGCAATGAATAGAAGTCTCTCCAATTAGTAAAAAGCCATTATTGCATCTGTAAGTTACTACTGAGTTGTAGGCGAAATTCTCAATACTTCCTCCTCCATCATGAGTGCCCCCAGTAATACTGGGAGGAGAAGAGCAAGTGATTGCTGAAAGACAGAAAAGCACTTCATCAAAATTAACAGAAATTTCTGCTTATTGGCAACCAATGTACGACTATTTGACTATGATTTTCCTTCAAAGATAGTGGTATGAAAATAGCTTGTATTTGGGGTGTATTCACTATCACAAGCCAAATTCCAATGTATGATGGGGTACAACACCACCCCAGGACTTCCAGCGGACGTTGATTAGAACACTCGCACCAGACGCTGTCTCCACGTTGTTTCAAACTAAAAGAATTTAAAACGCTTATCATAAATACTAATACAACTAATCTTGAAGGCTGAGATGGGACGACCCAAGGGTCAAAAGAAGAAAACACACAGACCTCCACCAGCCAAGGAAGAAAGGGGATTATCTAACAAAGACCCCCCCCCCCGCTGCTTGAATCAGAAGGAGAGGAGGCTCAGGCCAGCAAAAGGAAACATGAAGATTCGAATTCATGTAAGAACTTTTTACAGAACTGAAACAAGGAATAAAAGAAGAAATCAAGAGTCTTATCACTCCAATGACAACAAAAATAGACAATTTAACAAAGAGCATGGAAGAAATTTAAGCAGTTGCAGACTCAGCTGCAGCAGAAGTGAAAAATAGCAAACAAGCTATCTGGGAGCTACGTGATTATGAAGCCTGGTCCAAAAGTAAATTAATGTTATTAGAACTTAGAGTGTGTGAGCAGAAAATAAAATTAATGGGATTCCACTAAACTTTGAACTGAATACCAACCTGACTACAGCTTTAAATTCTTGGTTGAGTGGGGAGCTGAAACTTCTGGGTACAGTGGTTACGACAGCATACAGACTAAACACTAGTAGAGCCGGGTCACCAGCCTTAATCCCGGATGTTATTGCAGAGATTGTGGATGTTCAAACAAAGAAATTAATTTTAAAAACTGCTTGTAGCCAAAAAAGTTTGAAACTAGATGATGTTATCATCTAAATTTCCCAGATCTCCCATATGAAATCTTGACCTCTCGAAGAAATATGCGTCCAGTGGAGACTAATAGAACTAAAAATACCATATTGGTGGCTCATAAGACTAGATAAGGATGCGAAATAAGCAGCGCTGGAATAGAAACTTTTATTTAAATTTAAGTTGGGATATTGCACAATGCGGGTAAGACTGTATGGGGAAGATCCCCAGCCTGCCAATGGCGAGTCTCTTTTAGGGACTGCTTTGGGGAACCAAAGATTCCAGAGCAGGCAGCACATCCCGAAGATAAACAGTAGAAGATAAAATTTTGGTGTTCAGCAGTAATTCTTGCTTCCCTTTAATTGTAATAGTTACATAATAAAATTATACATTAGAAGTGTAAAGAAATAAATTGACAAATAATAATAGCAATTGAAAAAATTCATTTGGGATTAGGGGGAGGCAAGAAAAACAAAAGATGTATGAATTATATAATGATATATTTTCGGAATGTAGAATTAAGTTTGTGGGAACATTCCCAAGTGGATTATAAAGATGGGACAACAGATATATTAGAAATCAATTGAATTTGGGCATATTGTAGGTTATCCTTGATAAATTAGTTTAAATGTTATTTCTTCCTTTGTTATGATGATTTGTATAAACTTGCATTATGGGAATTAAAAGCAAAATAATTTTTTAAAAATGGGGTATAACACCACCCCAATAGGAACACTTGGTCTGGGGCAAGTGATGCTCTGTATTCTTGGTGCTTGGGGGGGGGGGCAACAGTGGAAGGGCTTCTAGTGTCCTGGCCCCACTGATGGCACCTGGTATTTTGGCAGCTGTGTGACAGAGTGTTGGACTGGATGGGCCATTGGCCTGATCCAACATTGGCTTCTCTTATGTTCTCTTATGCTTTTAATCTGGCTTTGACGGCTGAAGTCAGCATGTTTCACAACTCCCAAAGCCAGTTGTACGCACTAAAGCCTTGAATACACATTTTCATATAGAGTGGATTTTTCTTTTGTTTAAATTCTCTTCTATTTCTGCATATTTAAAAATAGGGAGGAGACAAACCGCCTCACAAGCCAAAATTGAAGCTGAACTTGTGCTGGTTCAAGGCCCAGGAACCAATGTTTGGGGAATATACACTCCCCAGACATTTACCAAACTTTGGCCAGTTTGGGTCAGCTGTTCAGAGTTGTTTGGTCTCTCTCTGTCAGCTCAGCTGTCTCAGGCTCCCTTGCGCGTTGGTGCCACGAAAGATGTTTGCACCCCTGCTTTAGTGAAAGAGAATGTATTGGAGTAGTTCTGACTCAGATTTGCCTCTATGTGATACAGAACTAACAATCATTCTCAATTCTTTGGTTGTGTTACAATTTGTGTACCAACATTTTTCAGTGCCTATTTCCCCCCTTTAAATGTAACCAATCTAAGGGAAATACACAGAGGTCATTTCGGGGGGAATTGCGGGGGATCGCAGTTCCCCCGGGTGAGGTACGGGGGCGGGGCACATGACGAAGCCCCGCCCCCTGCTTCCGGCCACCTCGCTTCCGGCCCTCATTCAGCCAGGAGGAGGCAGGAGAAGAGGGAGGGTAAGTTGCTTCCTCCCTGCCTCTCCCCATCCCTGCCTGCCTGGGGCCAGGGAGGGCCTTCGCGGAGCTTCCTTGCACTCCCGCCGGCCTTGCAGGTCCACCACCGGGCCCCTCATGGGGCTCAGCAGTGGAGCTGCAAGGCCGCCGCCGGTGGCTGGGACCGTTGGGGGCGGGTGTGTGTGGCCTTATGACACACTTCTGGTGATGTCAGGGGGTGTGGCCTTATGACACACTTCCGGTGATGTCAGGGTGTGTGGCATATGCTAATGAGTTATGCTAATGAGTTCCCCTAGCTCTTTTTCTACGAAACGACCCCTGGAAATACATACTATATTGTCTTTACATTTTTAGAAGTACTGCCAATAAAAATAACTTCCATGCAAAGTGTTAAATTTGTCTGAGCACAAAACTTAAACCACAATTGATTTTTTGGTCCTTAATCCAATATTTCAATTAAATTACTCAATGAAGTTGGGACATAAAATTAAAATGTATTCATTTTTTAAGTTTTTGTCAGGAGAGATGGTCACCTCTGTATCAATCAACCTGTTAAAACATCAGTTTTTGGCCCTGTTGTCAGTTTAAAGCAATAGCCTGTTTCCTGATGTGCCATCCAAGCATAAATAACAACATTGTAGAGAGAGTTTTAGTCCAGTGGCCCATTTAAGACCAACAAAGTTTTATTCAAGGTATGCACTTTCATGTACACCCACACTTCCTTAGATACATTGAAATGGAAGTTAACAGTCCATACATATAGGCAGACGGTGAACAGCAAATTAGCATACAACATAATTAAGATGTTTTAACAGATGCAAATACTGAACAGGAACAACAAGCTAAGTTTATATGGTCACCATTATTCTAGTTTGGTCTTTGCATCTTTTTTAATTTTATTTTTTAAATTTACATTCCATTTGTATACCGCTCACCCCCTAAGGGCTCTGAGCGGTCTACATTATTTTGTATGCTAATTTGCTGTTCACTGTCTGCCTATATTTACAGACTGTCAACATCCATTTCAATGTATCTGAGGAAGTGTGGGTGTACATAAAAGCTTATACCTGGATCTATCAACATTGGAGAAAGTTCCATGTCAAACCCCTATCACCCTTCTGCTGTTCCCAGACCTTTGAATATCAAAGCGATCTGAATTAATTATACTCAGATGGGAGGGGGGAGTCCTGCTCTTCTTCAAGAATCATCTTCTGGATCATGAAGATATATCAAGATGGGTAGCCATGTTAGTTTGTCTGTAGTTAAAATATATGAGCGGGTATGAGCTTTTGTGAAGGAGAAGTGAGCAGTGACTCACGAAAGCTCATACTCTGCCACATATTTTGTTAGTCTTTAAGGTGCTACTGGACTCAGGGCCGGCTCTAGGTTTTTTTGTACACTAGGTGAGGCTTCTGGTGCCCAACCGTGCGCTCACCAATTATGGGGTTGCCAACCTCCAGGCAGGGCCTGGAGAGAAGGAAGACTTTCCTCCATGAATTGCTCTGATCCTGACGGGGGAGATGAAACCAGAGAGATGCCATGTGGAGAGAAAAGGGCCCCCCCATCACACACACCCCTCAGCAGAGAGATTCTCTCTCTCTCTCTCTGGGGGGGGGAGACAATCGTCGAAGGGCTGCAGAGGCAATCCTCAGTGGCTGACCACAGGTCCCACACACCACCGTGGAAAACCAACTGCTGACCCAGCACCACCACCACCCCCTTTCCCCACATCTCCTCATCCTGTTTGGGTGTGCCGAGAACTCCTTGGGCTGCATAGATCCCAGGGCACCTCAGGAGGGCGGACCCTTCATCAGTGGCCAGGACAGGAGGCTTTCTTGCCCCCATCGCACCCCTCATCTCTGGCCTGATCCAGACTCCTGGGTCTCTCCCTGCTGTGCAACAGGGAGAAATCCACCCAGTGAAAGTTCCCCACTACGCTGAGCTGCAGCAGTGAGGCTGGCTGGCTTGGGCTGCTGAATGCCCAGTCCAGACTGCCCACCGTCTCTCTCTCCTGTCCCGCCGCCTGCCTCCCTTCCACTCGCCCGGTGGCCACTTCAGACGCCCCCACCACACCTGCCGCCTCTTTTCCCCGGGGGTGAGAACTCACCCCCGCCTTCCCCCCCACAGCCAGCGGGTGAGTAGTGAAGGCTCCGAGGCTGCTGAGAAGGAGCATGGGATCAGGGACCACCCCCGAAGGACTACACTGCTTGACACCCCCCTCCCCGGCAGTGGACATGGATGGGGTCCCGTCTCTGGAGCAGGGATGCGCCTTCTGCTGCAGGTGGAAGGAGGGAGGGCAGTCGCTTTGGGAATCAGGGGGGAGCAAAGAGGCGGCAATGGCCAGGGCGCACGGCGCGAGCTTTTGGTGGAGGAAAGGGCGGCTCAGTTCAGCACCTGCCGCGGTGCTGGTGCCCCCATGATGGCCCTGCTCTAGGCGAAAGTCTAGTTCACTTAGTGAGTGAGCCGGCCCTGAGTCTGGACTCTTGCTCTTTTCTACTTCTGGATCATGTTCTTGATTGGCTTATACTGGTCAGGGGGTCAGTGGTCCAGATTTCCTATAAAGTTAGTTTACAACATCTGGGACAAGTTTTTACATGCATGGCCTGATCTCCAACCTGTTGCTTTGTTACTTAGGCTGATGTGAAGATATTGTAACCTACCTGCCCTTCCTTACGTATGTATATGTAGGAAGACAAAGTGCTTGGTTCCAGCAGAAAGGAGCCCAGGAGGCGGGCACATGCAACAAGCCCTGCCCCCTGCTCCCAGCAGCCCTGTCAGGCCCTGCAGGCTGAGGCTGCTGCTGCTCCACTCGGCTGTGCCTGTGCGCTCCTGGTGGATGAGGCGGCCCACCCAGGAGTACAAGCGGAGGGAGGGACCGATGGAGCTAGTTGGGGCAGGGCGAGCCTGGCCTTAACTCCTTCCTCGCTCATCCAGGGATCGAGAGGGCAGTCGACTTGGGACTCTGCTGGCCACACACGAGGTTGCTGTAAGGGGAGAGGGAAGCGGCTGCAAGAGGAGAGGGAAGCGGCTGCAGCAGCTCCCTCTCCTTTTCTCCCACACCGCCTTCCTCCTTTTCATCCCTAGCCCAACTGGCTTTGGGTTTCCCCTCCTTTTCTCCGCTCCTTTTACGGGGCCTTTCTCGGGATTTGACAGAGTTTCCCAGTTGCCTGGAGTTTGGGCAGGAAGTCCGTCACTGGATGCCGCGCTTTCCCCTCTGCATGAGTCACTCACGCTGCCCCTCAGCCATGGAGACAGGGAAGGCACCTGTTGTTCTTGGAAGGCAGGCAGGCATGCAAAACGCACAGAAGCATTGCTGACGAGTTTCCCAGCGCCTCCTTCGCCCTGGAGCATGGCTTCGGGTGGGGTGGGGTGGGAAAGAAGCTTCTTGGCCTGGCTTGCATGCTCGCCTTCCCTGGGGTCAGACATGGACTCTCCTCTCTGCGGGTCACATTACTTGATGGAACTCCCCACAAATGGAGCACCCTGGAAAAAGCACATTCTGTCTCTCCCCTCTCCCGTATAAAAATTGTGGAGCATGCTCAAAGGGGATTAACTGTTCTGCTTTAGGCATCTTGAATAAGTCTTTGAGGAAGTCCAGTAGCTTTCAGAATCCTGTTCAGATAAGGATAATTTGAGATGCAGGTCAAAACCGGGATGTACTAAAAGGAAGGCTAGGATTGCCCATTAGAAACAATGGGAGAGACTTGAAGGCCCATTGGAAATAAGGGGAGCCAGGATTGCCAATTGACTTCCATGGGCTCCACTGAAGTACATTACAACTCAAGAAGAGTTGCAACGAAAATGTGGAATGGATTTTCAACTAAGGTCTCTGGTCTCAAATAGGCTACTCTGGGACTGGAATGATGGGCCCCAGAGAGGAATGACAGACCCTGGGGGTAGCAGCAGTGTTCTGGGAGTGGAATGGCAGTCCCCACGGTGGAATGACAGCCCCTGGGGGTAACAGTTTTTTTCTGGGAGTGGAATGACAGGCCCCAGAGTAGAATGGCAGCCCCTGGGGGTACCAGGAGTATATTGGGACTGGAATGACAGGCTCCAAAGTGGAATGACAGCCCACAGGGGTAGGAGATGTGGCCTGGGACTGAAATGACAGCCCCCAAAGTGGAATGACATCTGCTACCCCCCAGGTGCTGTCATTCCACTCCTAGAACACTCCTGCTACTCCCAGGGGCTGTCATTCCAGAAATACAAACATAAGCTCATATAGTTACACAGAACACTCGTGTTATCCCCAGGGGCTGTCATTCCACTCTGGTGCCTGTCATTCCACCCTCAGAACACATCTGTTACCCCCAGGGGCTGTCATTCCACTCTTGGACCTGTCATTTCAGTCCCAGGGTAGTCTAATGGAAAACCCATTCCGCATTTTCTTTGCAACTCTACTTATACTGTAATGTATTTCAATGGAACCCATGGAAGTCAGTTGGCATTCCTGGCTCCCATTGTTTCCAATGGGTGTTCAAGTCTCTCCCATTGTTTCCAATGTGCAATCCTGTCCTTCCTTTTAGTACATCCCGTCAAAACCTTGGAGCTGGAGAGGGTTCCCTCTCCCTTTTATATATTCTTAGTATTGCACTGGTATGACTTCCAAGTGGCTGGTAACTAATCATCAGTACAATAGGAATCAGTGGGATTTCTGAGTGATTAATAAACCTTACTTCACTTACAAGAACAGCCTTGTTAAATCAGCTGTTCTTGCGGAGCTTGTATTGCCAAAACCTTGGCTTTTGCATCCTTCCACCTCTTTTTCTTTCCGGGTTCTGTACCCATTCCATCCATTTAGGGGTTAGTTATGGCCTTTTGTGGCTGTAGAAAGAGGTCTGGTAAGCTGAAGGGCTTTATTGCTTGGAAGGGCTGTGATTTAATTGGGAGGGAGGGGGAAAGAACAGTACAACTTTAAGCACCCTTTGTCAGTTGTCATGTCAGGCTCAGAAATGCTTGATTTGGGCATATTTTATGGAGAAGTTGCAATTAGATAATTCATATATATATTGTACCAGTGAGATATGTATTGAAGTCTGTTTAAATGATCTTAAATGCCTGAGCTGTGGGTGTTGCCTTCTGACATTCTTCCGATGATGTCAGGGGGTGTGGCATATGCAAATAAGTTATGCTAATGAGCTCCTGCACCTCTTTTTCTACGAAATGACCCCTGGGAAGACAGATTTTGTTATTTTGTTGCACCTGCCTATTCTTGCTTATGTTAAGCCTGAATCACTTTTCTAATCTTTTTTAATAAAGTCCGTTGCTTTTATTGGTGTGTTCGACTGTGTGTGTGAAAGTACAAACTCAGTCTCCGACAAACTAACAGAAGGAAGTTGTTCCAGGGTCCCACATGTGGGGAAATGGGAATCAGATCACCTATGCAATGACATGGTGGGTCACAACCCCCAGTCTTTGACAGTTTTGTTTACTAAATACAAGTATGCTGAATCAGATCATGCTGGATTTAGGGCATTAGAAAATTTACCAATTCAGTTATCTCTGGAAACCACACATCACTGGCTCACATGCCTCTAGAGCAGTGTTCCCTCTAAGCTGAGTTAGTTTGAGCTAGTTCAGTTTTTTAGCCTCACACATTTTTGTCTTAGCTCAGGAAGGATGGCTCCAGAGCAAACTAAAAACAGTAGCCAAATCGCTTACTCACAACTTTAATACCAGCAGGGCCAGTGCCAGGTTTTTTTGCACACTAGGCACACTAGGCGAGGCTACCTTCTGCCCATCCCCCCACCCCCATGGGCCCACCAATTTTCAAACATAAATGCATTCTATTAAATGTATAGAAAGTTTAATACAGGTAGAGCCAGTGTGGTGTAGTGGTTAAGAGCAGTGACCTCTAGTCTGGAGAACTGGGTTTGATTCCCCACTCCTCTACATGAGGACTGTAGAACTCACAACACTACAGTTTAATGTATTTATCCTGCAAATCACTTAGAAAGTATTTATAGCTAAAGTAATCAACTTCAGTCTCTGCCAATGGACATGCACACTTCTAGGTAATGAGTTTCTGTAGATTCTTTCTGTTCTTACATTTTAATAAACAGTTTGCAAAATAGCTTTCTATGGGAAGCTAGCTGCCTGTTCACACGCAAGGACTGCAAAAAACAAACATTAAGCAAATCTTTATTCTTCAATATGGGGTGATTAGTTGTTAAGTTTAAAACTGACAGCAGTAGTTGGAAATGTCCTGAAGCTACAGTTTGCACAGCAACTTATTTTATAAACTTTTTTCACTTTTATAAAATTAAGTTAAAACTAAGGTTTGCAATATATATTATACTCACATCATAGGCAGCGGCATCAGTGGTGGCCGGCTGGCGAGCCCCCCGCAGCACCACCATCGCAGCTGCCAGCCAGCAGCCCAGTGAGAAGAATCCCATTGTTTGAAGAGGGCTGTGGCGGGGTGGAGGGTGGGCGCCACTGTGGGGCTCCCACAAAGCCCAGTCACTGAGAAGCAGAAACTGGTCCCCAATCCTGCTTCCACCCCCTCCACTTGCCCCCATCAGGTGCCGACTGCCTCGCCTGGTTGTGGGCGGCACCCCAAAGTTTGCTTAGAGTCTGTCAGGTTCGGGGGGGGGGAGTGTGTCAAAATAAAAATTTTCATTTTCTTTTCTTTTCTTTTTTTTAAAGAGCACCAGGAAACCAGACATCCGAACCAGGCTCCCTCCAGAGAGGTTGCCGGAGTTCCCAAACCAACTGTGGGGTGCGAGGAGGGGGAGGAGAAGGCTTCCTCTTCAGGCACCACCAGCCCCCCCGGGGGGCACTATATGCCAATAGGGAGCAGAGCCAGCGAAGGGCAGCCATGCACTTTCACCTCCTCCGGGCTTCCCCGCCTGCCTGGCAGAAGGGGTGGCGGTGGTGGCAGGGGCCAGGGAGTGGGAGGCTCTTCAGCACATGAAGGGGAGTGGCAGTGGCAGCAACCGCAGGGAGTGGGCATGGCAAAAGTTGCCCTCTGCCTGCACCTGAGAGACTTCTGGTTGGTGAGGGAAGGAAGAGGGAGGGAAGGAGAGGATGGAGGGGGGCACCTGGGCTGGTGTCGTCTTTGGAGTTATCCCCTCCCCTTTTTCTCCTCCCCCCCCACCGTTACATCACTCCCTCCCTCCCTTCTTCCTCACAAGTAGCTGCCAGCTCCCTAAAGAAACCCTTTGCAAAATGGCAGAGGTCAGCCCCGGGATCCACATGCACTCCTTGGCGAGTGGGTGCGGTTAGTTGTGGGGGGGGGTTATCGACAGGCCAGTGCTCCTTGCAGGAGGTGCTCTAGGCAACGGCCTAACCTGCCTATATGGAAGGATCGGCCCTGAATACCAGTAGCTCACAAAGCAGAATTTTTGCTTGCAAGACTCCACAGCTTAGAGGGAGCATTGCTCTAGAGTATTACAAATTCCAGGTTTATGCTATCTAAAATCATAGGGAGAAACTTACGTTGGCAATCTGGAGGCTCCTTATTCCATCCGACAGTGTTATTCTTTGCTAAACACTGGGTAAAAGGTGATCCTACTAATCTGTACCTAGAGAGAGAAAAAGATTTCCTCTTATCTTACTGCTCTGTAGTGCCTTTAATGGTTCATCACTATAAACCACATATTTTTCTATTATGAACAAAAGGAAATCTCAGCTCAGATAGTGTTTTTGGTAAAGTAAGATGAACAAGCTGATCTCACACTCCATGGACAGAAATCATTCTGCAGAAACACTCTTTTGGATCCAACCCATCATCTTTGCATCATTAACTCCAGTGCAATTGCTTCTATGCACCTGCGGTAGATTTGCAACAATTTAAATAAACTATTCCCTGCCTATTTGCTTATGAAACCAATTCAAGTTAATCCTTGAGTGCACTGAGACTAGGCTACATAAATGATTATCTTCTCCTTTCTTGCCCGATGCAGATGGAAAGGAGAAACAGAATCAGATATCATTAGCTTTTTTCCCAGTCCTTTGCTCAGGTTTCTTTCCTCTTCCTTCTCTTATTTTTACTTTATTTTCACCATTTTTCCCTAATACAATTCCAACCAGTCTTAAGCAACCATAATACAATATATCAAAAATCTATAGAAAGAGTTTATAAATCCACTAAACATGATCACGTGCAGTACCTTAACTTCTTAACTTTGTATTGCTAATCTGTATCGGAAATAGACAGAATTTCAGTTCAATGTTAGACAGAACAATTTATGTTTAAGTAGTCAGAACTTAATGAAATTAAAAGACGTCTGCTCCTTGGGAGGAAAGCGATGGCGAACCTAAACAGCATGATAAAAAGTAGAGACATCACCCTGCCAGCAAAAGTCTGTATGGTCAAAGCAATGGTATTCCCAGTAGTACTGTATGGCTGCAAGAGTTGGACTATAAGGAAGGCCGAGCACCGAAGAATAGATTCTTTTGAATTATGGTGCTGGAGAAGACTCTTGAGAGTCCCTTGGACTACAAGAAGGTCAAATCAGTCAATCCTAAAAGAAATCAACCCTGACTGTTCCCTGGAAGGCCAGATAATGAAACTGAAGCTCAAATACTTTGGCCACCAAATGAGAAGGGAGCACTCCCTGGAGAAGACCCTGATGCTGGGAAAGATTGAAGGTCAAAGAAGACGGGGACGGCAAAGGATGAGATGGTTAGACAGTGTCATTGATGCAACGAACATGAAATTAAGGAAACTCCGGAGCACGACGGAAGACAGGAGGGCCTGGCGTGATGTGGTCCATGGGGTCGCGAAGAGTTGGACTCGACTGTGCTACTGAACAACAATGTATTCCCTAACCTTTCCATCCTCCTGTTAGAGCACCACCTTGTGGTATGTAACATAAAACAACAAGGGTGGAAATTGCTAACAACGCAGCCCTCTTTTAACAGAGGGGGAATAAGAAAGAGAGATAATTAGAGGAATCAATGGCTATATCTGAAAAAATGAACTTTGGAAAAAGCAGTTCCCCTCCTCATAATACCACTAATCAGACGTTTATTTTGTTATCCTCTTTCTGCATGCTTGATGACACTATTTTACTGAGACATAAAATACCACAATCCTTTTAATTATTGAAACAAAACTGACATTTTTCTTGCAACAGACCCCAACTGAAAACATTTTACAACTTTCTTCCAATACAAAACGTAGCAATTTAAAGCAATAAACAATAGTACTCTACCTGAACCTTCCTGATCGTCTGCAGGGAATGACTTGCACCAAGCTCTCCCAAAGGTTCTACAGTTTATGCCAAATTCTTTTGGTAAAATTAGATAGTCCATGGATGTGTTCTGTTCCCCAGGGTTGACCCATACTTTGATATCATAACAAAGTCTGTAGCTCATCTAGTACAACTAACTCAATACACACCCTTCATCACAGATGAAATTTACTTTTGCTCGATACAGGAGATCAGTTAGAATAACAGCGCTGCCATTTTGTGGTTTTCCTGGATCGCCACATGATTTTCCTAGAGGAAAGCAAGGTTGGGAATTAGCATGCTAGACCAGAGTATGGCATTAACTGAGGAACAATTTAACACTAGCCTGGGATCAGAGGAGCATGAAGAATGCCTATGATCCACCTCCCGTTTCAAGGAGTCATAATCCATAGTGTTAGACAAATCACACTTGAAACTTGAGGAAATCTTTAGACGCAGATGCCAAAACAGTGTGAGTAGCTGAGGATGGTACTGGTGGTGATAACAACAAAATAGCCCTGTTGCACCCATACAAGCCCTCTGGCTGCAATCCAACACAGGTTTTAGTGCATTTAAATCAGGTAAAATGGCCATAAGCATGCTTAGTTCTATGTTTTTGTGTAGATAGTCTTAAAACTTTCGTATCTGGCAACAATTGTTTTCTTCACTATTAATACTTCTGGATCTTTTTTTCCAGAATACTAGTTAATTGCATATCATGTGTCTGTGCTATCACTCCATTTCCTAAACACTATAATCTTTTAAGGACTACTGCACCAGTTTCTAAACTTGCATGTAAAACAAAATACTGCATCTTCTGAAATTCTTAATGTCATAAGACTTATGGCTAGAAAATACTGTTGGCAAAAGTAGCTCTTGCATTGCTGTTAACTGCAGGAACATTATACTAACTTTTACAAAAAACAGGAATTTCTGACCAAGTGTTATTCTGAAGACAAGTTACAAGTGCACTTATTCCAGGGATGATGTCGTGGCCTCGGCGACAGATATAGGTCAAAATGGTCCCAGGAGTAAAGTAAGTCTCGCGCTCCTCGTCTGGGTGTGGTTCAGCATATCTTGAAGAAGTTGGTGTAGGACAACTGCCTGGCAACAAAAGCAGATAGAAAAAACTGAAAGACTGTGCTAGAAAGGACTACACAAGAAAACTTTCCTTTTTGCTTTTTAACCCATTCTTTGTGACAGAACATGTTAAACAACCCATACTTCGGGAAGGTTGTTAGTGACCTTTGTTAATCTCAGAGCCAGTTTGGATGATAAAAGCTGTCAAGGCCTCTTAAAATTGAATGCATTTCTTTTGTTCTCTGGCCTGTGTTCCACCCATGGGTTGGCATCATGAAACTACACTGGCCCCATGGAATGTTTCTAAAAGAGTGCTGCAGTCTTTCAGGCATACTCTTGCACCTGGCATCTTCTCTTAGTTTGACAGCAGGGCAGCCCTTCTAAGCAGAGTATGATCACATCGCACAAACACGTGATAGGCTTTTTATGTCCAACATGCCCCTCTGTCCTGAACCCCCTCTATGCAGCTTCTTGTTTTACGTATTTAGAACATTTATATGCTGCCTCCTCAGAGATCTGCTTAAGACAGCTCACAGGCTAAAATAATGAAAAGATCAAACCATTCAAAACCTAGCCAATACAATCCAGAACATAAAAATAAAAGCACACCCAAAAACGCAGAGCATAAAACATAATTGTGTGTCATCGAGTCACAACCCACGCATGGTAACCCCCAGGGCCATGGGGTTTTCAAGACAAAAGATGAACAGAGGTGGTTTTGCCATTGTCTTCCTCTGCATAGCAACCCCAGTCTTCCCTGGTGATCTCCCGTCCAACTACTAAGTAAGGCCGACCCTGCTTAGCAGCCAAGCTCTGACAAAATCAGACTAGTCAGGGTTATTCAAGCCGCTGGAAAACATCTAGCAACCTAAAAGGTTTTCGTAACAGCCATTCGGCTAGAAGTAGATTGTAAACACTAATTAAAACCTTGGTTAAAAAAGAAATATTCTGGCCTGCTGCCTAAAAGAAAATAGTGTAGATGCTAGGTGAGCCTCAAAGGGAAGAGCATTTTAGTCCACAGTGTGGCTTCAAAGCCCATGTTGTCTTCCTTTTTTGCCCTGGGTGCTCAGAATTCATGAGAAAACCACAAACTATGAGAAACACCAAAATTAGAGCCTCTCCCCCAAGTACTGCAAAACTGTCAGAACTAAACAAACAACAGAATGGATTCAGAAAATCACAACAAATATACACGTGAGATATTGTAGTGAATGAACAGAGTGCATGAATCAGTGCTCAAGTCCTGTGTTACTGGGAGAGGAGTTAAAATGACAAGGGAAATGGAAGCACCTCCCCCCTCTCTGTTAGGATAGAACAGAGGTCTCCAATGCAGTGCCTGTGGGTGCCATAATGCCCGCCAACTAGGGTTGCCAAGTCCCATCTTGACCCCCAGTGGGGGATTTTGGGGGGCGTTCCTGGAAAGGGCGGGGCGTTCCTGACATGATGACATCACATTTGGGACATCCCCCCGCCCGCCCGATCTTCCAGCGGCGCTGGCTCCCTGCACTTAAAGGGGCCCCTTTAAATGCAAGGAATTGGCGTTTCCGCCACACCCAATGTCCATGGAGACCGGGCGCGCGCAGGATGCGGAACACCGGCTCCCTGCACTTAAAAGGGCCCCTTTAAGTGCAGAGAGCTGGCATTCCCCACCCCACGTGCACCCACTCTCCGTAGACATCGGGCACACAGGAAACGCCAGCTCCTTGCACTTATAGGGGCCCGCAGCCCGGACATGGCCCGCAGCCACCCTTCTCCCTCCTCTCTCTCAAGAGAGAAGCGAGAGGGGTGGCTGGGGGTGTTGGGGCTTGAGGGTGGGGCTTCCCCCGAAGGCCAGTTGGCCGGCAGCCGATAGAAGTCCCAAAACAGTGGGGGACACCTGCCAAACTGGGGGGTTTGGCAATCCTACAGCCAACACCTTTCCAAGCACCTGCCAAGTGTTTTTAGAAGGTAGGTATGGCCAAGTATGGCCTTTACCCAGAGAAGTTTCTGTGTAATGTACTCCGCCATTACCACGTGCGCGACCGTTGGGCCATGCGGTCAGGCTAAGCCCTGAAGCTTCGCTCCGATAGAACAATAGCCAAGCGGATCCTAGCCCGCACCTATCAGAGGGCCAGGTCCGCAGCCGAGAGCCTATGGGACTCTCGGCTACTGTATATAGCCTATAGGGTAGTAGGGGGTGTGTTTTGGGTGAAGGGTTTCTGTGCATATATACCGGCCTGCGAGCCGGCTGTTCCTTGTCTTGTTCCATCTGAATAAAAGTACTTTGCTGAAATCACTCAACGTTTCTCAGTACTTTTCACTGGCGACGAGGATGGGATACTACCTTCCCTGAACAGGACCCGGACGAGACCAAGCCTGCACCGAGCACCGATCGAGACCACGGACGCCTCCGACACTTCGTCTCGGAATCACCGCTCAACGAATCGCGCCTCGCTCCGTCAGACCACGAAAGCAATCCCCGCTCGCATCGCATCGCATCGCTTCGCAAGCAAACATCCGAACAAATGAACATGTCTTCTCCGGCCACCACCTCATCCTCCTCATCCTCCTCCGGCTCGACCTCCCACGAGGGCATCGCACACTTCGACCTCTCTCGTCCCGAGCAATGGGAAACGTGGGTAGTGATCCTAGAGAACTACCTGACGTGCCTGAAGATCACCGACCCAGGTATGAAGAGGGGCCATCTCATCCGCTTCTGTGGGATGGAAACCCTCCTTCTCCTGCAGGATCTGATCACACCCCGTAAAGTGCAGGAAGAAAGTTTCAAGGTACTCGTCAAGGCCCTCACCGACCATCTCGCTCCAAAGCCAACCAAATTCGCGGAGCGGGTGGGCTTCTTCGAGAGGGTCCAGGGCCTAGAGGAGAGGGCCTCCGAGTTCCTGGCAGGCCTCCGACAGGCCGCCACGCGGTGTGCTTTCCCTAGCCTGGAAGACACGCTGCTAAATCAATTTATTGTGGGCGTGCGAGAGTACAAGTTGCGCCGACGCCTGGTCAGACAAGACGACTTGACTCTGGACAAGGCACTAAAGGACGCCATGGCCTACGAGAACGCCCGACAGGACCGCAGCGGAAATGCGGTCCATCGCACCCAAGCCACATTGGAGTCGACCGACTCCGAAGAAGACGAGGTGCTACAAATCCGCCGCCAGCCCGCACCTTCGCATCGTTCGAGGGGAGCACCGCCAGCAAGGACATGTGAGCCAGCCCTACCATGTGCCAGCTGCAGAGAGGCGCATGAACGCCGGACCTGCCGTTTCCGGGACGCCGTCTGCCGGGCCTGCAACAAGCAAGGCCACATCGCCAAGGTCTGCCGCGGTCGCCGCCAGCAAAACAAGAAGTCGACACACCAGGCAGAGCCGATCCACACCATGGACCTCCACTCCATCGACCTACACACCGTTTCCCACCAGCCCCAGCCCCAGGTAGGTGAAGTGCTCCGGGAGGGCCGAAACAAAGTCCATGTTTTGGTCCGTATAGAGGGGTCCCCCTGTAGCATGGAGCTGGATACCGGCTCCGAGTTTACTATCATATCGGAGGAGACACTGCGGAGAGTGTGTCCCAAGGGGGGGGGGCCCTCTGCGCAATCCACAATTTAGATTGCAGGATTTTAACAAGAATCCGGTGGCTGTACGGGGCTGGGGCAAATTCAAGGTGGAGTTTCAGGACTTCAAAGGCTATCTGGACATTCTGGTGGTGGGCAGCCGGCTTTCCAGCCTCCTAGGGATGTCCTGGTTTAAGCCGCTGGGCTTGACCATCGGGGGGCTCCATCAATTGCAGTGGGTAGATTTCATGGACGTATGCAATGAGTTCCTGCGGGTTTTCAATGGGTCCCTCGGCAGGTTCACAGGGCTGCCCATCTCCCTGGATCTGGATCCAGCGGTTCGTCCCATCCAGATAAAGGCCCGGCATCCACCCGTCGCGATGAGGCCAAAGATCGAGGCGGAACTGGACCGGTTGGTGGCCCAAGGGTTGTTGGAGCCGGTTGCGTCCGCCCGGTGGGAAACCCCGATCGTCACACCCGTTAAACCTAACGGGGACATCAGGATCTGCGTGGACTATAAGTGCACCCTAAACAAGGTGCTGCAGGACCACGCGTACCCGGTACCGGTGGTCAGCCACGTGCTTGCAGCACTAGCGGGGCCCCGCATCTTTGGAAAGCTGGACTTGGCACAGGCCTACCAGCAGTTGCAGGTGGACGCCGCCACAGCTGAAGCCCAGACAATTGCCACGCATAAGGGGGCTTTCAGGGTCCACCGGCTCCAGTTCGGGGTTTCAGTGGCACCAGGGATTTTCCAATCATTTATGGACTCTCTTCTCAAAGGCATCCCGGGAGTACAGCCATTTCTAGATGATGTGCTCATCGCCACCCCCAATGCCGCCTCCTTTGCCGACCGCCTCCGGACCGTGCTCCGACGCTTTGATGAGGCCGGGCTGCAGGTGAAACAAGAAAAATGCCTCCTCAGGGTCCCCAAAGGTGGAGTTCCTGGGGTTCGCGGTGGACGCCCAGGGAATCCACCCCACGGCGGAAAAGACGACGGTGATCTCCAATGCCCCAGCTCCCACGTCTAAAACAGAACTACAGGCCTTCTTAGGCCTATTAAATTTTTATCACTCTTTTCTCCCTTTGAAAGCAGCAGTGGCGGAGCCCCTCCATCGGCTTCTCGATAAAGGCGCACCGTGGGTCTGGGGACCGGCTCAGGCTGCGGCGTTCCAAGCGGTCAAGGAGCTTCTCATCTCCAACTCGGTCCTCGCCCATTTCAACGAAAGTCTGCCAGTGGTTCTGGCCTGCGACGCCTCTCTGTACGGGGTCGGGGCGGTCCTGGGGCACAAGCTGCCGGATGGTCGGGAGGTCCCAGTGGCCTACTACTCCCGGACTTTGTCAGCAGCTGAGCGCAACTATGCACAAATCGATAAGGAGGCGCTTGCAATAGTGGCCGGGGTGAAAAAATTTCACCACTATCTCTACGGCCGGCCCTTCACGGTCTTGACGGACCACAAGCCACTCCTTGGTTTGCTCGCCCCAGACCCCCCAGATGACCTCGCCCAGAGTGATTCGGTGGTCCGTCTTCCTGGCGGGCTACAACTACTCGCTCCTCCACAGGCCCGGAAAAGCGATGGGACACGCCGACGCCCTGAGCCGCCTAACTCTGCCCACGACGGATCCGGACCCGGCTCCAGCCCACCAGATCATGCTCCTGGAAACCCTGCCAGACCAGCTGGTCCACGTCCGGGAGGTCGCCCGCCGCACGGCCAGGGATCCGATCCTATGCCGCGTCCTGGACTGGGTGAGAAGGGCGTGGCCCGCGACAGCAGCGGGGCCCGAGTTTTCAGCGTTCGCCACCCGCAAAGATGAGCTTTCATCCCACAAAGGCTGTGTGATGTGGGGAGGCCGGGTGGTGATTCTACCTCCTCTCCGAGACTGGGTGCTGGCGGCACTACACGAGGCACACCCAGGAGTGGTACGGATGAAGGCCCTGGCTCGGAGTTATGTGTGGTGGCCAGGCCTAGATCAGGACATCGAGGGGCAGGTGAAACAATGTCAGCCCTGCCAGGCCTCTCGACTGGCATCTCCCCAAGCTCCCGCGAGGGCTTGGGAGTCCTCACACAAACCCTGGTCCCGGCTACATCTGGACTTTGCGGGGCCGTTCCAGGGCCAAATCTTTTTCATCTTGGTCGACGCCTACAGCAAATGGCTGGAGGTGGTTCCCGTGCCGTCAACCTCCTCCAAGGCGGCCATCAGAGCGATGTGGCACATCTTCAGCGCCCAAGGCATCCCGGATACCCTGGTCACGGACAACGGGATGGCTTTTACCTCGAGTGAGTTCCAGGAATTCACGAGGTATTACGGAATCCGCCACGTCCAGTCAGCCCCGTTCCACCCGGCCACGAACGGCCAGGCGGAGCGCATGGTGCGCACCACCAAAGAAGCGCTGCGCAGGTTCGAAAGCAAGGACTGGGACTATAAGCGGGCAGCGTTCCTGTTTGGTCAGCGGACGACCCCCCACACCGAGACAGGTCGCAGCCCCGCCAAGCTCCTGTTAGGTCGCCACCTGACATCCAGGCTGAACCGGTTACACCCGGACAGGGCCCCCGAGGAAGAACCAACAATGAAATCGCCTCAAGCCACGAGAGGGTTCTTTCCGGAAGACCCAGTCTACGCGAGGAACTACGCGCAAGGGCCACCCTGGATCCCCGCACGAGTTGTACGAGTGAGAGGACCTTGATCCTATGAGGTCTCCTGCGAGGATAGCCAACTACTCCACTGCCACATCGATCAACTACGGCGGCGGGTTCTCCCGAACGACCCCGAGGACCTGGAGTTTATGGAGCCAGACAAAGCGATTTCCTCCACGGCCGAGCCACCGGCCCCAGCACCCGTTCCAGTCCATCTCGCCTTGGAACCTCCGGCACTGGCGCCACCAGCAACACCACAACCGACCTCCCCGCCACGAGCCCCGGTAGCACCCACGACCACCACACCAGAACTCCACTGCTCCACGAGGACCAGGAAGGCCCCCGCGTACCTCCAGGACTTTGTGTGTGGGTAGTCTGGACTATGGGGGGAGGGGTGTAATGTACTCCGCCATTACCACGTGCGCGACCGTTGGGTCATGCGGTCAGGCTAAGCCCTGAAGCTTTGCTCCGATAGAACAATAGCCAAGCGGATCCTAGCCCGCACCTATCAGAGGGCCAAGTCCACAGCCGAGAGCCTATGGGACTCTCGGCTACTGTATATAGCCTATAGGGCAGTAGGGGGTGTGTTTTGGGTGAAGGATTTCTGTGCATATATACCGGCCTGCGAGCTGGCTGTTCCTTGTCTTGTTCCATCTGAATAAAAGTACTTTGCTGAAATCACTCAACGTTTCTCAGTACTTTTCATTCTGCTTGGCCATTAGGTTAACTGCAGATTTTTGAAAATATTGATTTCCTGGTAGCTGCCACCACTGCACAAGAAGCTGCAGCAGCCATTTTGTGACTGGCTGTGCCAACTGTGGCAGCCATTCTGTGGCTGCACCCAACAAGCTGTGTCAGAATTCAAAAAGTGCCCGCAAGTTTAAAAAGGCTAGGGAACCCCAGGATAGAACTACCTCATTCCTGCATCAGCAACTTGATAATCAAGCAAATATAATTTCAGTAAATGGTTGAAATGAAAGGATACTCCTCTAAAGGAACACACATTTTTAAAGGACTGAATCAGTGCTCATGTAAGTAAAGGTCTATCCTAAAAATATGAAGCTGCTTTATAGTAAGTCAGACAAGGGGATCTATCTAGTTCAGTTTTGTTTATTGATATTGGTGGTGAACTTCCCAGGCTTATCCTTTACCTGGAGATATTAGGCCTTGAACTTGTGGCTTCTGCAGGGAGAATATGTGTTCTATCATTGGGTTATGGTTCCCCCCATCCTTATCATCAGTAACATTTTCACCCATCTTAAGTTCTAAAACAGTTCCAGTGATGAGCCCCACTGATTAGGGCTAGGGTTGCCAGGTCTTACCTGGCCGCCGGCAGGGGGTTGTCCCGGTCCTCGTCCTGGAGTTCTTTGGTGTGTGCCGGGCGCATTGCCATGGACAGGGCACTTTGGGGGTAGGGTTCCCCCCGCCAGCCAGATGAGGACCGGTGGATCTGGGGGCCTGAAAGCGGGCAAACTCCCACCCCTGTCAGGGGAATGGGAGCCCTAATTAGGGCTGCTAGCTTCAGGTTTGGAAACTTCTGGAAATTCAGGAGTGGAGCTTAAGGAGGGAAGGGACTTCAGCAGGGTATAATGCCATGAAGTTCACCCTCCAAAGCAGCCACTTTCTTCAGGGGAACTGATCCTTGTAGTCTGGAGATCAGTTGTAATTCCAGGAGATCTCTACCTGGAAGGGATAAGTGTGCTATTCAGGGGTCGATTCGGGGGGAATCGCGGGGGATCGCAGTTCCCCCAGGTGAGGTGCGGGGAGGCGGGCACATGACGAAGCCCTGCCCCCTGCTTCCAGTCGGGGTAAAATGGTGATTTGACGCACCCTGTAAGTGCTCAGGGTGGACGGGTGTTCCTTACAGCAGTTTGGACTGTATTCTGGTCCAACGCAGCTTCCCCCAGGCAGGGGGAATGACTGGCAGGCATCAGGACCCAAGAGAGAGTTGAGATTGGTGTGATCAAGTCTTGGAGGAGGCTTGTGTTACCATGTGGACTTGTATTTGCATTTTATCTGTGTTGTGCTTATGAAGTATTGCTCAAATGTCTATGTATCTGTGCTTGTGGGACCCAGGGCCCATTGTTGTGTGTGTGCTTGCTGCCATGCGCTTGAATAGCTGGCCTTACACCTCACCCTGTCCCTGATGGGCATTGCTGAGATGCCAGCCACAGCGCACATGCTTTCTCTGGAATTTTCCACTGTGCCCCTGGCCCAAAGAGGTCATCACCGGTATGCACCAGGAGACATTTGGAGAAGCACCAGGCGTGACCACCCTTGATGGATTATGGGAAAGCACCAACTCCCTTCCTGCTAT